GGATATTTCCCATGCCCAGTGACACCTGTCAGGCTATCACAAACCCAGGACAGCACTGCAGAGAGCTATGAGATCCTCCTTTTCTCAAAAATGTATTAGAAACATAGTTCAGAAGATGGCAAAGCACTGTTTAACCAGTGAAAATTACCAATTTAAAGTTCTGCATTATCAAAAAGGGTAAGAATTTAGAGGAAGAATTAGAAAAGGAGAGACATCTAATACAGCCTATAAGAGTTTCTGCAACCTGCAGAAATGGTAGGAACAGGATAGATATGCACAAATTTAATAGTATACAATCTAAATCTTCAAAATTAGCAAAGAGACAAAAAGAAAGTCTTCAGGGGAATAACATATCAGAAAATGCAACCCAGTGAAAACCTCATTAAGGTATGTTCAGACTACATATAATAAAAGACATACTAGAAAAAAGAGTTAATAAAAAGACAACCTTGCATCCAACTTTATCTAGCAGAGACCGGTCAGTGTAAGGGTGCTCAAAAAGCCCTGCGACAAATTTTACCCTAAGGATCCGTTCAACAGCATCGTCAATCCTAGACAATGGTATCTCTTTCGATTCCACAAGATAGGTCAAGTCCTCTAGGTACTTTTCGTACTTAAAAGGTACCATTACCTGCATATACACTTTGTGGTTGGAAGATACAATTAAAAAAACCCAAGTTCTACAATTTTGTGTTTTATAACTTCTTACCATGTCAACTCCTGCCTTAACAGCAGCTAAAATGCAGAAACGAAAGTCTGAACCTTGAGGTTTACAAAGTCTATCAATGCCTTCCCAATCTGAAATTACAAATCCCTGCAGCGGAAATATAAACCAGGATGTGAACATCAGTTTCCAGGTGAAACACATGCAAAAGATTCCAAATAAAATCTAATGAAAGAAAAAACAGGATTTGGTCATTTTCACATACATTGGGGATAATGAAAGTGAGTAAGCAAAACTCATAGCGGTAATAATATGGTAGCAACTTCTTAATGATTTGACTAAAGGGATAGAAGGAGATACGGTAGACTCCAGAAAAAATGAATATTCATGGTAAAGTATTTTCTTAATAGGCCAACATATATCAAAGCAAATATGAAAATATACCTTAAATCCCAGCTTGTCTTTAAGGATCTCTGTGAGAAGAAAACGATCAGCATGTAGCTGTCTACCATTCCAGCTAGAATAGGAAGCCATGACAGTGCAAACTCCCTGAGAGATACAGTCCAGATAGGGTGCCATATGAATCCTCTCTAAATCTTCATACGAAGAGATTGTATTCCCCTCATTTATACCTTTATGTGTTCCTCCATCACCAACAAAGTGCTTAGCGCAAGCAATAACATTCTTTCTGGAACCAGACACACAGTAAAAAAGAAGATAGAAATTAAAAATAAAAAATCAAAATACAATCATTGAGTTTCAGAAATGTATCAAATTGATCCATAAGGCAGTGATTTACTTTAATCTAAACTACTATAAACTGGGTTAACATTATATGAGGACTTGTTAAAAAGTTGACTTTTCCCCCACCTTCCTTTTAGAAATGGGTAGCCATTTGGGTGTCCCTTAGGTGGATCCCCCTGTAACCCTGATACAATGGAAGTCATCTTCCTTACAATTTCGGTAGCCTCACTGTAACACTCATAGCATCTTCCCCATCTTGGATCTCTGCAAACCTTTAAAAGACCAGCTTCAGATTTTGTAGAAAGCAACAAAGTACAAAAGCAGCCACAAATAAAATCAACTTTTTAACAATTTTGATATCCTCATTGTAACACTCATAGCATTTAGGCAATGGATATTCATCAGATTTTCAGTTTCTCCAAAATTATCCACTTAAATACTACAAATAAAATCTTCCACACTAGTGACTCCTCCATTATTTGAAATTTGAATCAATAGGCACAATAAGGATAAAAAACACTCTGAACATCGAGTTTTCCTACTTCAATTGCATGAGTGCTACTTATCACTCTTTAATCTTTAGGATGAAGGGGTTACTGATAAACGGTTGCTGCCCCAATAGAAAATTTTTGGTTAATTAGAACACCAGCATGTCAAACTTATGAATTATATATTACAAACTACAAGAACATTTGCATAGCACTACACCATATAATTCTTCATTATCCGATATATTTTCCCTAAAAACTTCACAACGGCTACAAAATCAGTTTACCGCTAGAATAGTCTACAACCTCAATCTCAAGTCGTAATGTAGAAAGCCTAATAATTTCAATTCCATCCAATAAAGTATTCGAGCAATACGCAACAATAAATTCTGTTAAGTACTTACAGCTACACATGGAGCAAATGTATAATGAGCTCCACTAGCTCTAACCTCCAAAGCAGTTGCAGCCCCAATTCTATAAGCCAAATCAGCATCCCTGCACCAAATTCCCCAATTTTTTCACCCATTTGCACATCTAAAACAGCAAATTTACAAACACTAATTTCCAAAAAGAAGCAATCAACTAACCTAGTAGCACCAAGATTAACATTGTGAGGAAAAATTGTAGCACCATAAACATTATTATTACCATGAACAGCATCAAGACCATAAATAATCGGAATCCCTAACCGCGATTCCAATGCCAATTTCTGAAAATTATCAATCATATCCGCCCAATCAGACGACACCGCCTTATCGCAAGGCGCACTTCCTCCGGCATTGAGTACACTACCTGCAAAAAAAAAAAAAAAAAAAAAAAAAAAAAAAAAAAAAATCCAAAAGCAAAGCAATCATGAAAACAGTGAAAACGAACAAAACATAAACCCTAGGAGAGAGAAAATTGAAGATAAAGGAATAAACCGATGGCGAGGTCTTTGATGGCAGAAGGAGAAGCGACGGTTCGTTCGATTTGAGTCATTTGAGCGAGCTTCTCTTGCAGAGTCATACGAGAAAGAAGGTCTTTGATTCGGTCTTCAATGGCGGCGTTAGGGTTTCTGTAAATGAAGGTTTCTTCCATGGCTTCTTCCAATTGGATTGAGTGATTTAGAGGAGAGAGAAAGACGGTTGACTTGAAGATGATGATGATGAGTGGAGTCAGTGAAGAATTGAGGATATGATTGTTGCGAGTACCAGATTGTTTTTTCCCAGGAGCAACTGTCAATTTCACAAATATGGCGGGAATAGGTCGGTATACAAGCTCGGTTTTCTCTAAATTTATTTTGTTTATTCAAGAATAAAATTATCAAAACTCAAATATAACGTTTTGTGTACGGCTAACCACAGCATATAGTAACTTGTAAAAGAAAATATTTCTTATAACGCTGACTGAGTTACCCGGCCTATAATACTCAGTGAGTAGCCCTTACTGAAGAAGTAATTCTTGTAACTTTTACCAAGTAACCTTATAACACTATCGAAGTAAACCCCATGATGGCTATGTACTTATGTGTGGACAGCCACATAACAGAATTTGTGAAACTCAAAAGTTTTTCTTAGGTAAATTAAAATTGTCAAATGTTTTTTTTTTTTTTTTTTTTTTTTGAGTTAGGTACACGACTCTAAATGTCACTCTATCATAGATTGATAGGGATGAATCTATATGTAGGGTTTTACACAGTTCTGAACCGTAACCAAACCGTATTTTAGCGGTTTGGTTTGGTTTACGGGTTATAATAATATGATTTGGTTTGGTTTTTCAAAAATTATAAACTAAACCAAATCGTAAACCAATAAACCGTATTTTAATATTTATATAATTTTTAAATACATTAAAATAATTATTATATATTAAAAAAAATAAAAAAAAATAATTAAAACATTAAAAATCAAAATACAACATAGGGTATACGTATAGTAATGTATTATTATGATGATCAATTGATTGTTATTTTTATTATGTGTTAGCACTTGATTGTTATTTTTAATATAAATTTGTAATATAATTTAATCCGTTTGGGCTAATAATATTTAAACTTTATTATAAGTTAATGAAGTATTATTTAGCAATTTTAAGGAAAAATGTCGTCTCATTATAAAGCGCAAACCAAACCGCATTATTACAGTTTGGTTTGGTTTGGTTTGAATACTAATACAGTTTGATTTGGTTTGAAAAATTGACCAAATCGTATTTTTCAGTTTGATACTAAAACCGCACCATGTTCACCCCTACCTATATGAGGGGAAAAAAATAACACAAGGAACAAAATGTTGTGGTGAGCCCAATCGACTTTAATTTGAACCAAAACATGAATCAAAACATGAACCACAACCTTGAACCTAGCTACCACCGACTTGAGTGGGAATATGAATGTATTCCTTGTTAAAACCAAAAAAAATTACCCCTATCTTCTTTATTTGATTCGCTTACTACAAATATGTGTAAAGTGGGCGGGCGTAAAAAAATGAATTAAGTAAGATAAGGTGTAAAAGTGTATGATAATTGTTACTGTATTTAGTAGTGAGCTACTATAAAATGTACAACAATTTTCAAAAGGGAGGCTAGCAGCCTAGCACAACACATTGCCATCATGCATGTCATGCAAATCTCTTGATGATTATATAACAAACTACACAGTAAAATGTAATTTAAGCACGATCTAATGACATCTTTAACTAAGTAGACTGGAATCACCGGATAATGATCCATTTTTTAAAAAGTTAGATAACCAACAATTAAGAGGAAGGGAATGGTTGGGTGGGGGGTGGTTAAGTGTGAAACTCAGCTCATCAACTGAATACACAATTTACAAATAGATTAGGCATGAACGTTAAGAAATTGTGGATGATTCAGGGATTTTGTTTGGTTCATTTGTCAAATTATCATCATATCATCAAGCAAGCATTATGTTACGTACAATCATATGCTTATGTAGTAGATAGGTACGTTAAAAAAAAGACATTGAAAAAGCATTTAATTAAAACCATATTATCCTTGTTACAAAAAACGTACAAGCCCTTGAACTAAGTATACCAATACCATTTATACCGTATACCCCCATAAAATTAAAATCAAGTTAGATAAAATTGTTATAATTAAGAGATTATCTAGCTACTAGTACTAGTACTACTTTCTCCACCAAGCTTGTGATCCAGTATTCCAGTTGGGTGTACAGGGAAAAGATTCAGTGTGGTCATCTCCATCGAGTTCCCTTGATTATGACGATCATTATCCATCGATCTCAACGATCTCGTCTTCATCATTCCCTGATGATGATGATGATGATCAGCTGATGCAGGTGCAGTGAAGTGATGCAGTGGAGCATTATAAAACCCAAGGCTTGGTTGTGGCAAATGGTAATATGGGCTGCATATTACTGTCAATAATAACAATTATAATAAGTGCACCATGTCCAATATCAACTAGCAATTTGAGTAAATAGTTAATCAAAGTTTTAAGACTTCAAAATAATTATTACCAAAATAAATACAAATGCATGGTATGATCTAATATTTTACTCGCGTTTTTATATTATTAGTTCCCTAGACACAACTAGCACAAAATTGATATTTCATTAGTCAATTACGTACCACTGCAATGATTATGTCATAAAGTTGTTAATTACTCGTAAAATTTAATGTACTAGATATACATACACACGACATGCATACACGACTATACATAGATGCGGAGTAGTATATATAGACCAAGGTCAATTTGTCAACTTGTAAAAACTAGTCTTAAGGTTGCATTGTTACAGTAACTTATACATGCTCACAGCAATTAGGAAAATTTGAATTTCAAAAAGAAAATTGTAACAAAATAAAGATGCATACCATTAGGATTAGGAAGATACTGATGAGGGTAATTAGTAGGATGATGAGGAGCAGGAAAAACAGGCCGAGGTTGAAAATTATGATTAATAATCCCAGGATAATGACAGTGTTGATGAGGCGAATGAGGAATTCCATTAGCAGAGGAACTCGCGGCGGTAGTGGTTAGTAAACCGCGTTCATGCCTTTGCTTCTGGCGTTGGCGAGCCTTATGATTTTGAAACCAGTAAAAGACATTTTTCCCTTCAATATGACCGTACACTCTAAGACGAGCAGTGATCTCCTGTATCTGCTCTGCACTAGGTGTTCGTATACCCTCAACGCTGTAAACCTTCTCTAACATCTCAATTTGCTCCTTTGTTGGATTCCATCTTGTCCCCCTACTCCTGATCTCTTCTCTGTCTCGTCGTCGTGTTCTTGATGATGATGTTCTTCCATTTCGAATGAGTGATGTTACTAATAATAAACACCTTATATTTTGTAACGTAAGACTACATTCTAAGTACAAAGATTTTATGTTGGATTTTTTTTTTTTTTTTTTTTTTTGGTTCAATTGAATGAAATTGGTTTTTGTTGTTGATATGTTTTGAATTACTTGCATGCATTTTATTTTTATAGGGGGATTGACATGCGTTTTGTAATTGGGTCTAGAGGGGTCTAATGCTTTGGGAATTTAATGTTTTTCTTAATTCATGTAATTATATTAAATTAGAGATAAAGTGAGTACTTAATGACAACTACTCCACTTCCCTAGTTAGTTCTCTACGTTTTTTTTTTGCTCAAGTTAGATCAGAACATAACATGAAGTATTTTTAGTTTCTCTACATGATTGCTAGTCCTGCCTAGTATGGTGTACAACTCATATTCGTGTTTAGTGTCCTATCAATTTCGAATTATTCATAATATATACTTGTATTAAAAATTATTTTATCCGTTAACTAATTTTTAATATGACTAATTAAACATACCAATCAATGACCAAATTAAGTCGGTTTTGGTTGATTTCTTGTTATGCCGATTCTGATCTCTAAAGGACAATGGAGGCACAAATGAGTAAAGATATGTTGACAAAAGTAAAAGTTATTCTGCGAAAAATAATTTTGGTTTTCGATTTATGCAAATTTAAAGATTATTTGTGATTTGTTATTGGTTGGAAGGTTGGACTTTGATGTAAATACATTATTTAATTTTATTGTTTTTTTGAATTTGTAACTCCTTCAAATCAAGCAATCAATTGTGAGTCTCCGCGTTCCGAGCCATAATTAGTTTTGCCAATTAAATTGGCCAATTAAGATTTTATGTTGATCAATTTTATTTTAATTTAATCATCTAGCCAAAAAGTAGGGGCATTATTGTATAGGGAATTGTTTTTTTAGATCTTCAATTTCATAAATTGCATCATCTGTATGAAGGCAAAATTTTTGGGCTCAAGACAAAGGTTCTGATACTCATCTCAACTGTTTAAATCCAATACTAATTTCCAATAAAATTAATTAAAAATGAATAAATTTAGAAATTATAACAAAAAACACAATCTATGGTGTTGAAAATCTTGTTCTTCAAGCATATGGTAGCTTCAGATTTTTCATCACACGTATTGGTCATATTTCCTCTGCCTCTAAAAATATTTTTGTTTTGACTTTTTATTTTGTGAGACAAGCTCCGTTCATACATATATACAAGTACAATTTTTAAAGAGTAAATCAAGTGATTGCAATATACTGAAAACTATATACTATATCAACCTATCACTTCCAAACAAGAAAAATAAAAAAATTACTTCATACGCGTATAATTTATCACCATGATCCCTCTCATCTAATAAAGGGAATTTACATGAACAAAATTGGGTACTTCTACTCTAGCTTAATTGTTTACTCTACTACTACTACATTGACTCTTAATCACGTACACATGACAAGTGCTCATGCTCTTCCTAAAACAATTGACTAAATAACGTAAGTAGTTGCATTGCCTAGCTAAACATTGAATTAGTACGGTGCTTATTGAGAACTTAGGATGTACTTAATTGGATTTCTAACTAAATTTTTTACTAGTCCAACAATTAAACTTAACCTTTTCCTTCGGATTGATTTCTACAATTTTGCTCAGAAATCACCTCATCAAGACATCAACATCAACTGTTATAGCTAAGTGAGGCATCTCTTCATTAATTAGTACCTTTTGTGCTATTATTTGCCTATTTGAGATCAATGTCATAACGGTCTTCGTTTGCCTTCTCTTGGGAGGTAGACTCATCGACATCCTATACAATGTCATATAGCTTATGAATGTTAATATACACACATAAGGTACACTCAGATATATGTTAGAAATTGCAAAGGGCCAAAAATACGTACACAAATAATTTGGTTACTAAGTGACTCATCTTTATGTTCATCTTGGACTTGATGTAGCGGTGTGACTTTCATATTGTCTTCCAATCTTAATTGATCCAATAAATCTTCTTGACAAGTTGTAGAGTTAGAATCAGATATCGATTCCTTTAGCTCCGGCCTTGAATTCACTTCATTCTCGTTTGTTGCTAGACGTTCACCTTTGTCCTGAAAAGAAAATTAAATATTATTATTATTCCAATTATCATGCATTATTATTTATGACTGGCTACCAAACGGATTTAATTTTTTTTTTTTTTTTTTTTAAGTTTTACGCCTTTTAAGCAAGTTGTACCTCTATTCTTCTAAAGTAGTCATTTTGTTCGGTAGTTGAAGAATTTTGATCCACATGCTCTTTTTTGAGATCATTTGCATGAAATTCATTAGATGTTGCGCTCGTCTCTTTTGGTTCTTCAATTTGACTCGTCGTAGTAGTACTATCTTCAATACTTCTCTGAGATCCTTCTTTAGAATCTTCTTTATTTTCATCAAACTCAAATATTTGATTGATCTCATTATGGAATGTCTCCTCTGTTTTCCGCTCTCGAACATGAGATGATCGCTCCACATCCTATATATCATCATAAATTCACAACTTTAACTAATATTAATCCACAATAACGTATGTAACTCTAGCATTGTGTTTGAAATCACCGTGACATATAATTCTACAAAGTAATATTGTAAAAACTGATGGTTGAGCCTATGATCAGTTTATGCATACTCTATCATTAACATATTTTCTATCAAAAACAACTATTTTTCACGTGATTAATTGTTTGTTTTATGTGAAAAATAATTTTTAGTAACGAAGAAAAAAAGGGAAAGTGTATTTTTCACATTATAAGGTTTATTTTGTTAAGCATATATACCTCTAAAAAATTAGAGCCACATTCACTAGGAGGTAGATTAGCCAAATATTCTGCAAGATGATCTACTTTACTCAGCATTTGAGACGTTAAACCTTCTGAAGATGATGATGAACTAGAATCCAAAATATCTCCATTAGTACTTTGTAGATCTACAATGAGTTTTTTCTTACCCTCATTAGGCAATATCGACCTCGGAGATAATGACGAAACTACCCCTCCAACTGTGGCTTCTTGATCATCATCATCACCCCCCTCTTCCTCCTCCCTTGACATTGATATTGTAGGAAAAGGATCATCATTTTCATTAATTTGAACATTATCGACGTTACACAAGTTCAAGGGTCTATTATATACCTTTTCTTCTTCTTTTAAGGTATCCTTTAGCTTAAAATTCATTCCAAACTCCCCTCTTTTGGTTGGATGAGGTGATATACCCCATAACTCTTCGTCGTCTATTGAATTAATATCCTTGTCGTCGTCTCCATCATATGAGTCTTGATCCGTTGGTGAGTTTGCTTCGTTGGCTGTCATTGGAGGGGACCCGCCTTCTGAGACCTCGACTTGCATATCCGATGCAATGGAGAAATTTGACTTGTGATGATGAGGTTCGGTGTAAAATGATCTTTCTTGCATTTTACTAGGTATAACATCATTAGGACCATTAGTGTTACATGCTAGGAGATCTTGTAGGTTACTTTGTTGTAACAAGTCCTTGTTCCTAGGAAATGCTGCCAAACAAGTAAGAACCTTTCTTACTGAATTTCTAAATGCCTCATTCTTTGTTGCATCTAAACGAGCCCTCTCGTTAACTGAAGATGATGATGATGATGATGAAGATGATGATATAGAGCTCTCCTCATCATCGTCGATTTGTCCCTTGTAATCTGACAACACGACATGGTCTTGTGTGGGTTGAGTCTGATTGTCTCTTGTGCACCAAGAGATTAACTCTGATTCCATGTTAAATATGTTATGTTCTTCGTTGTTTGTGATTGCTAATTTTGTTTCATTGTTCCTTTTCGGTAGACTTACAAAGTGATTTGAGCCTACAATCTCGTTATAGATGGCAAAAGGGTTTTCAAAAGTTTGATGGTCTTCATCATGATTATCATTACTCTTTGGCTGAACTACAAGATTACAATAAAAAGGGAAAAAAAAATGGTGGTAAGTTATGAATATATATAATAAACTAAGGAACAATATTTTTGGCGTAAAAGTAAATGAACATATCTTCACCTTCATGAGGTGACTCTTCATATCGTTGATCTTTTGCATGAACATTCTCTACAAATGGAAAAATTAAATTAAGAAGATGGTATGATTAGTTATCCAAAACAATTTGGAAAGAATATTTCTCATTAGAGTTCGGCATGAGCTAGCTAGGTCGATAAGCGAACTACTTAAAGTTGGTAGTTGGCAATCTTGGCATGAAGTTGGTCTGGCTTGGCATGAGCCTGTTAATCTGTTATGAACCATACATGGCCTAAAGGTAGGCCATTTAGCAATTTAGTTAAGGGTGATGCATGTACATCATTTTTAACATTTATCTTAAGCTATTACAATTTAGGATAATTTGACTTTTGCTACCACCAAAACACATGCTTTTGTCTTTTGCTACCCCTCCAAATTTATTTTTTTAATTTTGCTACCACACTAAAACACTTTTGTTAAAATTTGTTACCAACGGATTCCGTTAAGTTTATTCCAAAAAAAAAAAAAAAAAAAATTAAAATGTTTTTTTTTTTTAAAAAAAAAACCCAGCCACCCTCCCCCCTGCCGGCGCCCAATGCTTTGGCCAGTGCCGACGACCCTACCCCACTGCCTTTCCCCCACCAACGCAACCCACCCCCCCTCCCTTATCCCTTTCTCGCTGCCCCAACCCCCACCCCGAAACCGGAAAACAACCCTCCCTCCCCATCCCCCCCACCGGAATCGGCCCCCCTCCACATTCCCCCACCGAAATCGGCTCCCCCTCCCGTACCCCCACCCAAAAATCGGCACCTCTAACCTTAAACCACCAGCCCAAAACCACCCTAAATGGGTTTTAGGGTTTCGCTTATGGTGGTTAGGGGTGGTGTTTATGGGTTAGGGGTGGCTGTTTTGGGTGGGGGGAAGGGGAGGGGGGCCGATTCCGGTGGGGGGGATGGGGAGGGAGGGTTGTTTTCCAGTTTTGGGGTGGGGGTTGGGGCAGCGAGAAAGGGATAAGGGAGGGGGTGGGTTGCGTTGGTAGAGGAAAGGCAGTGGGGTAGGGTCGTCGGTGCCGGCCAAAGCATTGGGCGCCGGTCGCCGGCAGGGGGGAGGGTGGCTGACAGGAGGGGGGCACTTGAGGGTGGCTGGGTTTTTTTTAAAAACATTTTAATTTGTTTTTTTTTTCTAATAAACTTAACGGAATCCTAACGAAAGTGTTTTAGTGTGGTAGCAAAATAAAAAAAAGATTGGAGGGGTAGCAAAAGTCAATAGCATGTGTTTTGGTGGTAGCAAAAGTCAAATTATCTTACAATTTATAACTAATTAAGCAAATATATACCTTAATACCTTATAGGCTAAAATCAATTAAGGACCTAGTTGGTACAACACATGAGTCGAGCCATGTATGAACCTCGCACAAGCTCGACTGGACATACACGAATTTCCTTGACCTGTTTTGGCTTGACAACACCGTACGTAGGCGTGCTTAGCCCGCCTGCCAGACCGTGCCCAACTCTAATTCCCATATAATAAAGGAAAACATTTAATTGAAATAATTTAAAGTACCTTGTCGCATGGATAGTTTCTCTATAATCTCCTTAAGTCGTTCTTCTGCATCTATGGATAATAAAATAAAATTAAAATCACCCGACAACTTTTTTACCCATGAAATCAAAGATCCAAAGGAAAAACTTAATATATAAATCATTACCAGATTCCCTTCTAAATCGCGTTAATCCTGTGTTGTTGTTAGATACCACCTTTGATTTAGTAAAAAATCTAGGAAGAATAAGATCATCCTTATTATATTCATCCATTTTACTAATCTCATGGTTATTATTATTACAAAAATTAAAGTGATCCTTCAACAAATCTCTATGTTGTTCATCAAAAAAGAACTCCTCATCAAAACTACCTCCTGTAAGAACAGGCTTCTCTTCGTGTGGATCGTAAGGAAAATCGAAAGGATTTCGTGTGGATCGTAAGGAAGGTGCTGACCCTGGTTGATGGTAGTCATCACCTTTGTCGTCGAACTCTATACCTCCCTTCGAATCAAAAATAGACCCCATAACTTGCTGGTCTAATTGATCATGTTGATCAAATGAATAAAAATTGTGCCTCCTAGGTTGCATACTAAACATTTTACGTGCCCTTCGTTTCGCTATCAAGCTTTCGAGTCTCTTGTTCCTCTCTATCTCAGATGAACCAAGATTCATTAGATTTTTCTCATCATATTCTGTCCATTCTACCACATGCTTGTTTTTCTCTTGATCGCGTGCTGTGTCTTCTTCACTTTGTGATGATTCGGTGGAGTCAGAACGACTAGGAGGAGTAGTAACTCTAGTAGAAATAATTTGTGTTTTCTCTTCGATTATATTAGGAAGATTATTATCATTATTATTGTTAGAGTTTTTTTTTTCAAATCTCCCAAATGTTCTTCTACTCATCATATGGGTCGTTTGTAGGTATGAGTGACAATCTTTATCATCATCAATCGATGTGAAATCACATATACTTCTCATTGCATTGGCTACATTGTGATCTTTCTTTGGGCTGCTTTGATGTTTTTCCAAATTAAATCGCGATTCTCCAAGAAGAATCGCGAGGCAAATTACCAATGGAAAGGTATAGAATAGAATGTTAAAGACGGAAGAGTAGAAAATGTACAAAAGATAGAAGAATATTAAAACACCTGAAACAATAGGATGTTCTTTTGCCCATTGCCAACATGTTTTCATCAAATATCGAAACCATGCTTTTGTCAAAATTTTAACATCATTGATGTCGATTCCCATCTCTTGGATGATGAACTTTAAACTTTTCATGGTGGTACGTGTATACGAAATGATAAATGTCGACAAATCGAAGTCTTACAATTTACAAGGCGAAAACAGAGAAATGAAAATTATGTAATCAAACAAGATGTTCATGAAATTTTGGCAATGGAATTTTCCTCTTTCTTTGAGAAAAAGATTTGGTCAATGGATTTTCATTTTTAGTAACTTAGGATTGTTTGGTTCGTAGTCTACCATGGTCCTTCAATTTAGGCCTTTTTCATATTTTAATTCATTGTTTCTTCCTATTTTATCTCAAGTATATAATTGATACAATAGAAAATCTTGCATACAAGTGATTGTGGTGGTGAATGTTGCGCGACAATTTCTAGGATTATCAAATGTGTTTTACTATAAAAATTGTATGATAAGCAAAGTCTTCTTGGAGAAAGACGAGATTTTCATGAATTAACTTGAGCAAAATTAAGTTCATTAGTTGATATTTTACAATAAAAATGTTCCTAAGAATATATTTATTTACGTGTCATTATTCCTCATTTTATGTCACCTACTTACATTTTGAAAATGAGAAATGTAGTCAGTAAGCTCAAACCCACAATCTCGAGTTTCAACATTAAAAATTATCCAATAAATTATGTCATACTACACATTTACCCATTATCTTTTAAAAAATTATTGTTATATGACAAAGAAAAATTACACCATACTCATTTTGTTAAAAAATACTACATTCTTTATAACCATTTATGCTACTAGTCTACTACGGGGCATCGCCGGGCTTAAATACTACGAGTAGTTTTGAATCAAATATAGTGTAACTTGTGTTGTACCGGGTAATAACGTTGGGCCAATACAAAACAACACTAGACCTTCCTATTAGGCCATAACCTCTTATACGAACATATCAACATAGAACAAATTAGAAATTAGTCAATTACACAGGCGCCAAATCCCAAAAAAAAAAAAAAAAAAAAACAAACTCATCCGTCCTAAAATTTGAAGCCCTAAGAGTACCCACAGCCATTAACTATTTGGGTGGTTATTAAGAGAGAGAAAATGAAAATATTAATAAAATATTGAGGAGAGAGAAATTATTGGGTTATCAATTGAATAACCAGGTTATTCAAATAACCGGTTATGTATATGGTCATGCAATTTTTTTTTTGCTTTTTGGTTGACATGGATGGCTAAGATTTTGACACGTAATACAAATATCAATGGTTGAGATTTGCTCTGAATTTATAACCGTTGTAATTTTTGTAACGGCCATAATTTTTAAAATACAATTCTGAAAAAAAAAAAAAAAATACACCAACGGCTCTATTTTATTTTTCTCTATAAAATGAGCCCAATATTGAAGTATTTTGAAACAAATTTTTTTTAAGTGAAAATTACTCTTCTTATTGGTAAATTGTGTTAAGATGAACATTCCAAAATCTAACAGAAAAAAAAAATCCACAAAATCTCATAACTCATCACAGCCCCAAAATAATCCAAATCCTCAACCTTACTATTCTAATCTTCCAATTGATCTCAACTCAGATTTAGATACAAATTTTCAAAATTGTCCGAATTACGGTTCACAAAATCTCAATTTCTCAAATCCAAGTACTTTCACTCCGTTTCCTTTTCAACCACCACAAAATCCTAATTATTCAAATTCTCCAAATGTTATCCCATCTTTTGAAAATATTCAAATCTCTCAAATTGATTCAACATTTCCCATGTCTCAACATTTTTCTATGTCACAAGGTGATGGTGCATTTCCGAGTTTCGATTGTTCATACACATCGAATGCATCAGATGACGAAAATGAACTAGAAGTTGAAGAAGGCGAAGGTAATGAAAGAGGTAATGAAGGAGGCAATCAAGATGGAAGGAAAATTTTTTGGTCAAAAGCTGAAGAAGTGGTTCTTGTGAAGGCTTGGCTTGAGGTTAGTCAAAATAAAAAAACTAACACTAACCAAAAGGGGGATGTTTTTTGGAGGAAAATTGAAGAAATGTATAATAATGTTAGACTATACAAACAAAGGTGTTTCGAAGAAGGTACTGATCGGGTAACACGAGAAGATTTGTTGAAAATGAGGGGTACGGAGCAACTTAGAAACCGTTGGAGAAGGATTAATGCTTCATGTTCTAAATTTTGTGGCTCACATGCTCATGCTGAATCAAAAAAGGGAAGTGGTATGAATGATGAAGATGTTATGAAATTAGCATATAGTATATATGCTAACGACAAAACAAAGTCTTCATTATGCTCTAAAACCTTTCAAGACAAGCATGTTTGGGACATCTTAAAACAACATGAAGCATGGAAACCAAGTGAAGATGTTGTTAAAAAATGCAAGGAAAAGACATCCACTCAAGGAAGTGACTCAAAGAGATCTCGTATCAATGAAGCTGGAAACTACTCCTCTTCATCAAACCCAGAAACACCAACCAGTGGTGATATTGGGTATTCAGGCTTTCCTTCTAGCAACGAATCTAGTAAAAATAAAGGAAAGAGCAAGGTGCCAAACATGCCAAGTGGAGCATGGCAACAATGGTTGGACACTGCCCAGAACATGAACCTTATAAGGCAATCAGAAAATGAAGTTGAACTTACAAGGTTGCAACTAGAAAGGGAGAAAGAAACAAGGAAGCAAAGAAAAATTAATATGGAGTTATTTAAACACCTCGATTCAAAGCCAAACTTATCTTCGGAAGATCAAGAATTAAGGAGCACTTTGTTGAAGAAGTTGTTCCCCTCAGACTAATGTATTAGTGTATGGTTGATTATTGTCGTAATGTTGGTTGATTTCAAATAATTCCTTTTTTATTGTTCTTTTTTATGTACTTAAGGTCTGATTTGTAGTTTGAATATTTTTAATAAGTTGTTGTTTGAGGATGTGAATGAATTTTATATTATAATGTCATTATTAATAAAAAAAATTAGGTTAAATTACATGTCTCTTCTTATAATCGTATTATAAGCTTAATAATATTATTCAATACATTAAAGTTTGTATATAATAACATATAATTATTATTGATCTGACTAAACCTATTGATTCACTTTGATATATCACTGCAAAAGATGTACATTGATTTACATTACACTGTAAAGTATTTGATGTACCCAACACTGAAAAGCAAATATTAAATACTAGACATTGATGTACTTAACACTGAAAAGGTAATAGTGAATTTTGTTCACTGATGTACTTAACACTGAAAAGGAAATAGTAGCATGCATCACTTGCTTTGACGTACATAACAATGTTAAGGTGATAGTGACAATGCAAAGGCATGCATCTCCATTACTTTTAAAAATTATTAACTACTTTATGAATCATTGCATGCATGCAAGACTTCAAATTTACCATATAAGACAAAAAAATTACTACATATCATACACACTTGTTCTATAAGATGGATACATCAGAGTGGGATTCCCTTGAACAACCATCCATTTCCCCCTATTATACTTTTACCTTCCATTCTCATATCAAATTTGGTTTTAAAAACATGTCATCTGACGATAGCTCCAACTCTTCTAATTCCTCTTCCAATTCAGAAAATAGCCAAACCCAACGATATGAAAGACGAAGGCAAGCCAATCGCCAGTTCGATCGAATGATGGATGAAGTTTTTATGTCCAATCCAGTTGAAGTATATCAAATGTTTAATCAAGTGCCAAGGCCACCAAGGGTTCCCGTTCCAAGGGATCGTGAGGATGGACACAGTCGTTTATGGAATGACTACTTTACCGACCATCCTGTGTTCCCTCCACAATTATTCCGTCGGAGATTTCGCATGAACAAACATATATTTCTCCGAATTAAGCAAACTTTAGAAGAACGTCATCCCTTCTTCCAGCAAAGACAAGATGCTACAGGAAGATTTGGTGCCTCTGCATTACAAAAATGCACCGCGGCTATGAGACTAATAGCTTATGGCACCTCCGCTGATTCTGTGGATGACTACATTCGGATTAGTGCATCTCTTGCAAGAGATTCACTTCAGCATTTTGTGGAAGGAATAGTCTCTTACTTTAGTGATGAATACCTTCGAAAGCCCAATGAAGAAGATCTAGTAAGACTACTAAGGATTGGTGAACGTCGTGGATTTCCTGGCATGTTAGGTTCTATTGATTGTATGCATTGGAGGTGGAAAAACTGTCCACTTCGATTAAAAGGTATGTTTTCTGGAAGACCAGGTAAACCCACATTAATCTTGGAAGCTGTGGCATCATATGATCTTTGGATCTGGCATGCCTTTTTTGGGACACCAGGTAGTCGTAATGATATTAATGTTCTTGATAGATCCCCATTGTTTAATGATGTTTTTGAAGGTTGTGCACCCTCTATTAACTATGTTGTGAATGGTCGCACATACAATATGGGATATTATCTCACTGATGGTATATATCCTAAATGGGCGGCATTCATTCCTACAATATCACTACCACAAAATGAAAAAGAAGGTCTATTTGCCAAAGTACAAGAAGCTAAACGAAAGGACGTTGAGCGTGCTTTTGGAGTATTACAAGCTCGTTTTGCAATAATACGGAATCCAGCGCTAGCTCGTGACGCATCAATGTTAGGAAAAATAATGATAGCGTGTATTATTATGCACAATATGATTGTTGAGGATGAAAGAGATACATATAAAACGTATTACGATCCAAATGAATATGATCAAGCTACAAATGCGTCTTCAAGTAATGAAAATAATGAAGAGCCTTTTCAGTTCCAAAATAGCAACAACCGAATTGCAAGTTTGGAAACTTACATGTCTAATAGAGCACGTGTTCGTGATGAAGCTATGCATAAAGCATTGAAGAAAGACTTAGTTGAACATATGTGGCTCAAATTCGGTGTTCAAAGTAGGGACAATAATATGCATTAATAGATGTGTAATCGCAATATTATATCATTGTGTTTGTACTTGTTCGCGGTTCGTTATTATCTTTCAAAGACTTTTGTCATTTGATAGAATATATATGTATGATTTTTATTATTGTGGAATGTAGTAGGGTTACAATTATTGTTTGTGTCTTAATTAACGACTAATTACGTACTAATTAATATCAAAATTGCATTATTTTTAAATTTTTGAGATTTTATCTAATTAATGTATGCTAATAAATAATTATTAATTTTGAATGATTATTACCAAATGCATTATTTAATAATAATAGAATTTAAGTAATAAATTGTGTGGTGGGGTTGGGTAAAAGTAGGAGAGAGAAAATGTATAACCAAAATATTATGGTTAACTATTGGCATACATTGGTTATTAAATGGTTATAAGAGTGGTTATAAGTAAGGTGGAAGATGGATAAAATAATAAAATAATCAATAACCAAGATGGGGTTGGGCAACCATTGTGTATGCTCTAACCCCCAAAAACTGGTAAGCTCATCTTTTCATTCTTACACCTTCTTTACCCAGAAAACTGCACTTAAATTTGCTGAATTTTTTAAGTAATTGGTAAAATTTTGATTAATTTTTTTCTGGGTGTTGATTTATATTGAGTAGGGATGCAAATTTAGCTCACTGGAGTTGAAAATTCAGTAAAAAGAAATGGGAAGTTTTACTGCAATTACGCCTGTTAGCTCATCTCTTCATGCCAATGACTTGTCGTTCAGGATTAAATGTCTAAATATTTCTTATCAGGTAATAATTTCATTAATTTTCATTACTGTAAATTGCTCTTGTTGTTGAATTTTATCCTTAATTATTCAATTTTGAGAAATTTGTTTTTTCTTGCATTTTCCTGGGCAATTTAGCATTGTTGGAATTGGGTGTTGTTACCTGTTAATAGTGTACTCTTTGTTTTACCTCGAAGTACTCGTGTCGGATACTTGACATACTATGATATCGAAAACTTCTATTTAGACGAACATATGCAAAATTTGGGCATGTATTGGTGCTGTATACTTGTGTAGATAATTATTATGAGCTCTTTGATTACCCTTTGGTTGGCTTGTTTGGTTTTCATTTCTTTTGATTTTGAGTATTGTGTACATATGCTTCAATTTTTGTAGTTGAATTTGATGTTGCTATGAAGTGTTAATTAGAAGCTGTTTAGCATATTGGTGGGTATCAGGATGTACTAGCAAAGATGGGAATATTGTGCTTAACTCCAGAAGTGGCTTTAATCTCTAATGAAGTGGTTTTCCGATGAACGTGACAGTATAATTTAAAGATAAACTATATGGCTACTGGACATTGTATAGATAAATTGTTTTGATTTCAGCCTGTACTGAATTTTGTTCTTTTTATTTGACTGTCGATATTGGCAATTGATATATGCTTTCTGTAGAGAGATATTACCTATGAAGTTGTTTTAACATGTATGTTTGCATTTCTAATTGTTGTGATTCCCTGCAGCACAAAAGAAGACATGAAGGACCGAGAAGAAAGTCTGGTGTTGTTGCATATTATGGGCTTAAAAAGCCCCCTTATAACCTTGTAAGTTATCCTCTGGAATCTGCTTCCTATGTATGAAACTATGAACTTTGTATCCTGTTTGCCTCTTCTAGCAAGTGGCAATAGAGTAGGAAGACATAAACTTAAGTACAACTTCCTTCACCAACTTCTATTAGGATTTTTATGTAATAATAGTACAGTACACGAGATTCTATTTATAATCTGCATATTCCAATGTGCCGAGTTTGCCTTGATGGCTTCTCCTATAACCCTTACTTTTTCTATACCAGTTCTGGTGGATTTTTTTTTATTTATTATTTAAATTTGAGTTACCAATATGTCAATATCATTAATTTACAAATTTTTATGTTCATGAATGATTTTACATGTGAGGTTGGTATTGTAAGATGTAACTAATACATTTTCGCTACACTAAGGTTTAGAAAAATTAAAAAAAATTCTTAAAGAAGAAAAAAATATATGCTCTTTTCTTTCTCTGTATACCTCATAATTTTCTGTTAATGTTTCATCAGTTTCTTTATACCTTCTTCTAGTTCCTCATTTATCCTCTATCAACTGCAGGATGCACTAGAACCATATATGAGCCAGAAAACTCTGGAGTCACATTGGGGAGAGCATCATAAAGGTTACCTGGATGCTTTGAATAGACATTTGAGTAAGAGTGATATACTGTATGGCTATACTATGGATGAACTTGTGAAAGTAACGTACAATTATGGAAACCCCTTACCCGAATTCAATGATGCTGCACAGGTGTGTTTAGATATTGATGTAGTCTCTCATTGTTTTTGAATTCTGCCTAAACTAGATGATTTCATTTAGGGTATTGAGGGCCAGGTTTATGTCTTGCCTATTTGTAAGGTATACTGGTGTACATTTGAATGTTTATGTTAAAAAAAAATTCAAACTATGTCCTGGACCTATGGATTGAATATTTCATGTGCATGGTCTTCCTACAGGACTTGTACCTGTATCATGGATTTCTACTTCCACTATTACAATAGAAGTTTGCTTAGGTATTTTTATTGGTTGACATTTCGAAATACCATTTCAACAGCTAGATATCAGGCATAGGTTACCCTTGGAGAGGTTTTTCTGTGACTTAAATCTGTATTTTGTAGGACAGATTTCATTCTAGGTGTGATTCTTAACTTAAATTTGAAGATAATGCAGATGTTTTGAGCTGTAGAATTTGTCTTATGAATGTAAACCTTTGCAGGTCTGGAATCATGACTTTTTCTGGGAATCCATGCAACCTGGAGGTGGGGAGTCTCCAACACTCGGTCTACTTCAGCAGATTGAAAAAGATTTTGGTTCTTTTCCAAACTTTAAAGAGAAATTTATAGAAGCAGCTATGACACTCTTTGGTTCTGGTTGGGTTTGGCTGGTTTGTAAGTCCCTTATCAAACTATTGCTTCACTTCTTTGGGGCGTTAGTTACCTCCCTTGAAAATCATTCACTAAGACTCAAGATTAAGATTCATTATGTACTTAAACAGCCTATTGTAGTTTTTTCTGTGCTTTAATCATTAGTTGCTTATATGTCTACTCATCTATGGATTTATAGTGAAGAAGAAGGATAAGCAACTTGCAGTGGTTAAGACATCAAATGCAGTCACTCCTATTGTCTGGGATGATATCGTAAGATATTCTCCTTGAAGATCTTTCATTTTGGATTCTGTATGGAAAAGTTTATCTCTACAAGTTTACTTGACTCACTTCAAATTTCTTTTTTCTGCAGCCCATCTTATGCTTGGATGTGTGGGAGGTATTTCTTGCTTTTCTCTTGATCTCTATTTATGTTCTTGCATAATATCTACTATTTCTTCCATCCTTAAATGATAGGCTACATTTTGTGAGAAGTTGAAATTTTAAGTTATTAAATTTTGAATGTAGCCTATTATATCGGAGCATCTTAGTTAGAGTAGAAATATCCCTATTATTTAGAGATGGCGGAATATCGATTCTTTGAAATTGAACAAAATCTGACTTCATCCATGTTTTCTATCTTGCAGCATGCTTACTACTTGGATTATAAGGTAAGAGACTAACATGCTTCGCGTTTTCAAAAATGTTTATCTTATAGTTGTCATGTTGCTAATTTTTCTTCCTCTCTGCAAACAGAATGATAAAGCGAAGTATGTAAATGTGTTCATGGACCACCTTGTATCATGGCATGCTGCAACAGCACGCCTTGCTCGGGCACAGGCCTTTGTGAATCTTGGAGGACCTAAAATTCCAGTTGCTTAAATTGATATTGCTTCACATAAACTCTCTTCCCTCTCTTCTTCCGTTACTTCTGAATGCATGCTTGTTTGTTAGCTTAGCTTGTGTATGCATCTCTCTTGCCACTTTAGCGCGTTAGTGTTGCCTGTAAGGCTATAAGCACTAAATCAACCCAAATTTTCCCATCTAAGTAGCATAAGTATATTAGGAAAGAGTAACTCTTAGAGTCTTTAGTGTGAGACTAATATGAGCATGAATGACTTGGTAAATTGTAAGGCTTTTTTTGTGATCTAAATGATAGTGAAGGGGTTAGTATTATTGAATAATGGAGTGATTGTATGTTATTGTCCTTATTGGTAAATTAAGGTAAACAGTAAAGAAATGAATTTCTGTGATATAAATTAAGGTAGCATTATCTTCTTTTTTTTCAGAGTGGAATATCTGTCCAATATCTATTATTGAGTTTCTTCCTAAGACCATAAATATAAATTGGTGAGATTATGGGATTTTTTACTAAATTGAGCTTAACACATAAACTATTTACCAATCTAAACGCGTGGCCAAACTATTTACCAAACTAAGCTTCTGAGGTAAAACGGTGCCCCGGTCAGCGTTTTACCCTTTAATTTTATAAATTCCGTATTTTGTGAAATACAAATTAGATAGGAAAAAAACTGAAAATACCAAAAACGCTGCCTCAGTCAGCGTTTTTGTGTATTTCAGGTTTTTTTTTAAAAAAAAAAATTTGAAGGGTAAATAACAGGCCATAAAATGCTAACTAAGGCAGTGTTTTCTGTAAGGAATAAAGCGTTGCCTCAGGCAGCGTTTTATGGCCTGTTATTTTGACATAAAACCCTTCAAAATTAAAATTAAAAAAAAAAAAAAAAACCTGAATAATACGCTGCCTCAGGCAGCGTTTTTGGTATTTTCAGTTTTTTTTTTCTATTTAATTTGTATTTCACAAAATACGAAATTTTAAAAAAAATAATAAAATAAAAGGATAAAACGCTGACTGAGGCAGCGTTTTTGGTATTTTCAGTTTTTTTTTTTTCCTATTTAATTTGTATTTCACAAAATACGAAATTTTAAAAAAAAAAATTAAAGGGTAAAACGTTGACCGAGGCAGCGTTTTACCTCAGAAGCTTAGTTTGGTAAATAGTTTGACCACGCGTCTAGATTGGTAAATTATTTGTGAAATTAGCTCAATTTCGTAAAAAAATCCGAGATTATGCGATATAAAAGGCAGGGCATGGACGTATGGCCCATGTGAATGGCATGTCCCTATTATGAATCATTCAGATAGACGGTGACAAATATATTCCGAACGGTTGTTTTAAAAAATTTATATCATCTGTGATTTTGATATGGTGTATTAGGGAGGGTTAGGAGTGTCAATTAATGGCGTTGCCTAATGCACAATTTAAAATTTATATCATTTGTGATTTTGATATACAGTATGTGCGAAAGGGTTTGGGGTTTATTAGGAATTGTTTATAAGTGTTGATTGACTATCTTTTATTAATGAAATCTTTTTTCTTGTCAAAAAAAGAAATTCAAGATTATCGAGTAAATAGTAAAATAGGGATTACAAAAAGGGTTTTGCAAATTTTGTAAACCGATTTGAAACCAGATGTACATGAAGATGTAATTAACTTTTTTGTGTGGGAGAATGTAGAGTGGATATAAACATTCTAGTATGGGCTTGATTTAATGTTTTAGCTGGTTTGGACTTGTGTTTTGAGGTTTATGATTTTTAAAAGTTATTTTAAAAAATAGAAATAAAATTTTAATCACAACTCCTGTTATAATTTTAATCTACGGAGTAATGTTTTATGATGCATATCAATTTTAGATTCGATAATATAAATTTTGTAATTAGTACAATTACATAAAACTTACAATCACCATTCTTGCATAAACCAAGGCACCAAATCAAAGGTTTTCAAAGGAATGGTTTGGTTCTGGTTCAAATTGGATTACGCACACCCCTAACTCACAATTGTGAATTATCCAATCTCATGGGTTTTTTTATGTACTTGAAATAAGTGTGGGATGCACAAGATTAAAATGTGTCATTAGTTATGACTTTTATTAGGCTTGTGAGTTGTGAGCTTATGACTTACATCTTACATACACGACAAAGTTCCATTTATAATTGAATTTGGTCGAGTTAAGGGCACAACTACTCCCTAAACTTAGCCAAAAGTTGCAGTTAGCTCACTGAACTTTCAGAAGTTGCAAGTTAGTCACTGTAACTAGGAGTGAGCATAAAAGGGTACCCTGTTAAATTTCTTAGAACCGAAACCGAAACCTGTTGCAACAGGTTCCTCAAAATGAGAACCGGAACCTGTTGAATAGGTTCCTGAAAAATCTACAGGTTCCGGTTCCGATTCAGGGTACCTTGTCTTTTAATATATTTCGTACTTTTGTGCACATTTTAAAAAGAAAAAATATTAGAGGGTTATAAATTTACAATTCTTACAATTTGCAAATACAATAAACCAAAAATAGGTATTTATCAAATTTAATACATATAGTTATAACAATTATTTTATTAATATTTAGTGGGGTTAAATTGATATATGATCTGGGCTAAAGTTATACTTTTATTAGGTTACAGGGTACCCTATAGGTTCCGATTCCAAAAAATCGAGAACCTGAAACGGAACCGGAACCTGTTGCAACAGGTTCTCTATTTTACAATCGGAACCGAAATCTCTTGTACAGGTTCCAGTTCCGATTCAGGGTACCATAAATTTTTGCTCACCCCTAACTGTAACCTTTTGTGACCCCCCCCCCTGAATTTTTGCTCACCCCTAACTGTAACCTTTTGTGACCTTCATTTACAGGTTAATTGGTAGAGCTCCCTAAACTTTCTGACTTAAAAATTAGCAACTTCCTAAACTTTCTGACATAAAAGCTAGTGCACACCCTAAACTTTCTTATAACTCTCTAAACTTGTTCACATGATTTTTAATTAACTAGCCATTACAAAAAAAAAAAAAAAAAAATAAATAAATAATAATAATTAAAAATCGATTATTATAAAAAAAACTAACAACAGCTATATATATATATATTCCAATGCGTTATCGATACTCTGTTATTATTCTGTAAAATAGAAAGTGAAGAAAGCTCCCACAAATTAAAAAAAAAAAGAATTATTATGTAAAAATGAAAAAAATGGCTATAATAGCCAAGTCTTTTTTTTTTGAATAAATAGCTAATTTTCCTTTAATAATTATTTTCATTCTACTTTAGCTCTTGTAATAAAAATTAAAAAAATAAAAAAAAACAAAAAACCTTAATATAATGCATAGTAGTGACAAAACATTAAAACAATGGATCTTTTATCAAAATGGCTAATTAATAAAAGTATTTACCAAAACGGCTATTTATATAATTTACCAAAACACCACAAAAAATTCTAAACTTTTTTCTAGATCATGATCGTATCACAAAAAATTGGAATTTTAAGTAGTTTTGTTTTATCAACACACGCAACTGCAAATTCATACGACAATGAGGGGATTTTTTTTTATTTTTAAGGAGACGATAAGGGATTTTTTAGTACTCTGTTCTTTGCTAAAGTCTGCTAATTATAAATTTTGTTGAGTTTAATGTGTATAATAAATCAAACATTCAAACTAATTACTATGTGATATATAATGGCACACAATGAATATGCTCAGCTTGTTCGAAGAACAATCTGATTCTCACTTGCTTGATTTGGTAAGTCATTCTTTCTCCTATGATGTTAATATAAATAAATCATCTAATTTTATTTTATTTTTTATTTTTTTTAAAAAAAACAAACAAACAAATCGAGCCAAACTAGTGCAAAGGAAAAAATAGATAATAATTTCCTTTCAAGTCAAAAATTTAGCTAGTTTTAGAATTTAAATTTAGAGTTCCCATTGGCTTACAAAAGTATCATTAGATTGTTAAATTAAAAAATATAAAAAAAATACCAAAGTTTAGGGAGTTTACCTATTAGTACAATAGGTTTTTTTTTTTTTTTTTTTTTTTTTTTTTTTTTTTTTTTATAGGGAGTTAACCTGCTTTATCAGGTTACTACCTGAAAAATGACCTCCAGCCACCTGAGGCCCCGTTCACTTCACCTTATTTTTGCTGAACTGAAATTAGTTTTGCTGAACTGAAATTAATTTTACTGACCTGAAATTATTTTTACTGAACTGAACTGAACTTATTTTTACTGAACTGAACTTATTTTTGCTGAGCTGAGATTATTTTTACTAAACTGAAATTATTTTTATTGAATATTATTTTTAAGGTGAAGTGAAAAGGGCATGAATAATGAGTAACTTGCGAACTTTTAAGAGTTTAACGAGTAATGTGCAACTTTTGGCTAAGTTTAAGGAGTAGTTGTATGCTTAAGGCCCTGTTTGGTTCACCTTATTTATGCTGATCTGATCTGAACTTATTTTTTCTGATCTGATCTGATCTGAACTTATTTTTTCTGATCTAATCTGATCTGATCTAATTGTTTGATTTGACCAAACTTTGACCTTAAGTGTACGATAATCTATAAGGAAAAAATATATTAAGTGGGATCTTGTTAGATTCGTAATAATGTGTAGTTTATTAATATGTAATTTTCACAATTTTTTTCATTACGAAATTAAGAATATTTAGCGATAAAAAAATCGCACATAAAACGATGTTCTGATTTGAACTTATTTTTTCTGATCTGAACTTATTTTTTCTGATCTGAACTTATTTTTTCTGAAATAAGTAAAAATAAGGTGAACTAAACAAGGCCTAACTTGAATTTAGTCACTCATTCCAACTTGGTCGATCTTAGCATATATGGAAACTATATTTAAGAATAACAGAAGTATTAAATCTTTATTTTATTTTTTTCTTGATTAAAAAAAAAAAAAAACTTAAATGCACTTTTCCCCCCTAAATTATGCACCCCACAAGGCCACAATTCTGTCACGTTACGAGTATATGGCCTAGGATAGTGTAGGCGTGTAGCAAATGAAGACACAACTCGGGCAAACTTCGAAAATGGTCCACCACAACTCTTACTATATGAAGCAATCACAACCTCAAAATAAAATTTAGGTACACGTTGGCAATTTTAGTTAAACTTCATGAACCCATCAAATGTAAGAATGGACCCCGCATTAACACCCTCTCAAATCATTTTGGATAATTCAATATCAATGGCTCAAAGCCAATTGTTTGGTTCTACTAGACGACGACTACTACTACTAATTTAATCAAATAGATAGTTGAAGTGGTTAGAACTCTCTCTCGATTTCAAGAGACCTTATCATCGATTCGCATATCCGTCCTTGTGGCTCTCTAAAAAAATAAAAAATAATCAATCAATTACGAGTATCTAAACGAATAATGCGTGTAAAACGAAGGTGGGACAAATCAAAGAATACCCATATTACTCCTATAGAGGATACTAATAGTATTAGGATTGACAATTTAAATGAAAGTTGATTACTTTGGATCATGAAATCAAAATTAATTATGATAAAATAATTTTATAAGACGTTATTCCTGAGTGATGTAATGTTGTAATCAATCTACTTGAAACTTTGTATTGTTGCATTATAACTTTATAAGTAAGGTTAAAATTGGAAACTCATATGTACAAGTCCATAGCATGGTTAGAATAAGTTCGATAACCTTGTGTCATGTTATATTTTACAAATTTGTCTAATTATGTCACAGTTAAACCCTAATTTGGACAAAATTTTCCACCGTATATTTTGACACCCATCTTACCGTAACATGCCTTCTTATTATCGCGTCTTAAGTCTTAAGCTTAGCCGATTCAATCCAGTCCAAACTTTACCTAAGGTGTTTTGTCTTAGATAAGTGGATAAAAAAACGAAGGAGATTGTTACACAACTCGAAATTGACGGTCCAAACATCCTCTCCAACCCCAAAACAAAAATCGGATCGGACGGTCATTATTCGAAGAATTTAGAGTCTCCAAAAGTCCAAAGACTCAACCTTTGCAACATCCATTGAAGAAGAAAGTAATCTTTCTGAAATAAAAAGCTCCAAGTTTTTCATATGATTCCTCAAACAATTGAAGATTTCATCAAATTCCCAAATTTTTAGGGTTCTATAATTTATTCCGAAATGTCAGCAATTGCAGATAGACCTTTAATTCATATCTCAAATCATTGCTATAAACCAAGTTATTATTGCCATGGATTAAGCTACTTTTGTTGTCCTTCATCTTCTAGGGTTTCTTTATCCAATTTTATCCGGAATTCGTCGACACATTCTCGATTATTCAACAATTCTTATCGACAATTTAGGGTTTCAATTTCTAGGGATTTCTGCAATTCCTCTAATTTGTGGAAGGGTACTACCAGAATTCGAGCTAATAGTTCTTGTGAGCAAGATACTGATTCTACTACACCCAATTCATCTTCTTCTTCTTCGTCGGAGAAAAACGACGCGAAACAGGGGAGCAAAGGGGCGTCGAATTCGAGCTCCTCGTCGCAACCGTCGTCGTCTTCTTCTTCTTCGCCGAGGAGAGAGAAAGAGGGTAAGAGTTGGTTTAAAGGTTCTGGGGGGAAATGGCGGTGGCAGCCATTGATTCAAGCTCAAGAAATTGGGGTTTTGCTTTTGCAATTAGGGATTGTGATGTTTGTTATGAGGCTTCTTAGGCCTGGGATTCCGTTACCGGGTTCCGAACCGAGGCCTCCGACGACATTTGTAAGTGTACCTTATAGTGAGTTCTTGAGTAAGATTAATGGTAATCAGGTTCAAAAGGTTGAGGTTGATGGAGTTCATATAATGTTTAAGTTGAAGAATGAAGGTGGAAGTGGTGTTATGGAGGGTGAAATGAGGGGCAGTGTGAGTAATTTGCAGGATTCGGAGTCGTTGTTAAGGAGCGTGGCGCCAACGAAGAGGATTGTATATACTACAACTAGGCCTGTTGATATAAAGACCCCTTATGAGAAAATGCTTGAGAATCATGTTGAATTTGGCTCACCGGATAAGCGATCAGGCGGGTTTTTAAATTCAGCATTGGTAAGTTGATGAATTGGGTTTGATTCATATGCTTAATGATAAATGTGCAAACTATTTTTGGGTAGTATATATTTTGCTTTAGAAATTGAGAACAAAAACTATGTATATAAGCAGTATGTTGGCAACTTGAACTATCTGTTATTCATTGTAAAGTTTGTGATATGAAACATGTTTGATTCAACACTGAATTGGATATAACTGATTCCTCTGTATTACCCTTGCCCAATGTGCAAGTCCATTCCAAGTTGCAATTTTCATGTTGTGTTTCATGCTATTTCATATAAGGAAATAAAATTTGGTGGACCTCAGAGTGGTGCTTTCAAATGATGTGGCAACAACCCAAGGAGACATTAAGGAAGATAATCTCCACCCCCCCCCCCCCCCATCCCCCCGAATTCTTGTCATGTCACTTGGGGGTATATGCTCTCGAGTGTACCTAATAGGGTTTCCCCTTCTTAGAGCTATTTCTAATTGAGGTTGTCACATTCATTTAGATGCAATGGAAAAATGAAGAAACAAGCTGGGTAAATGTTTATAGGAACGGAAATAATGTACTAAATTACAGACCTTTAAGTTTAAGTGTGAAAGAGAGAGCATCTCATCAATTGGGTTAAGAAGTATATGACCCTTGAAACTGTTATTGAGTAAATTTTCTGCTGAAAAGATGTAATACTTAATTTTAATATTCTCAGATTGGTTCAAAATTTAAGTTTGTCTGAGCTGGTAATCCTTGATTTGCTTTCCATGTTATCAACCAAGAAATCGTATCAGAAGTCATATTCCTGCTAGGTATTACTAGGTAGGTATATAGAAAACTGCAAGAATATTTTATATCTATTTTATGGAGGGTTTTGTAGACCATTCATTGTCTAAGGCTCAAATCTTATGCAGTCAGGATGCTCAACAGTTCCCACTTATGGGATTAAGGCTTTGATTGATTGATTGATAGTTTCTTTGCTGTACGCATTCTCTTGGTGAGCAAGTTCCTCGTTCTGAAACTCTTGGGAAATTGGGATTTAAGATGGCTAGCAAGTTCATCCTCTCTCTCTCTCTAAATACACCAAAAGTTTTTCTAATACATTTCCTCATCTATTTATTATAGCTTAGTTTCACTTCTTGCATATCCTAGTTCCTTGATTGGTTGAAAATTGTGTTCTCTTGTTTCCCTATTTCTACATTTCTACATTTCTAGTTTCCATTTTCGTTTTCGTTTCCTTTTCCATGCTACATAAACGGTCTTCTCCTTCCCTACTTTCTAGTTCCACTACATGTATATGTTAGGTTGTGTGAAGTTAGACAATTGCATGCTTCTGATTTTTTATTTTTTTATTTTTTCTGCAGATAACCTTGTTCTATGTTGCTGTTCTAGCTGGACTCCTCCAGCGGTTCCCAGTTAACTTTTCACAGGTGTGCAATTTTCCTCCCTCTTCCCCTTTATTGCAAAAGGGTCTTTCCATTAGGAATTAGGATTTAGGAACACACCTTTTCTGCTTATTTACTGGCTCTGATATGTACAGAATGCACCGGGGCAGCTTAGAAATCGTAAATCTGGGAGCTCTGGTGGTACAAAAGTAACCGAGCAAGGAGAAACTGTCACTTTTGCAGATGTGGCAGGTGTTGATGAGGCTAAGGAGGAATTAGAAGAAATTGTGGTACCTGTCTTGGCCTTAGGTTTAAAATCGTCAGTTTGTGTTTTATATGAAAATGATGTACTTATTTCTGCTTAATGGATAGGAATTTCTAAGGAACCCAGATAGGTATGTACGGCTTGGAGCACGTCCTCCTCGTGGTGTTTTACTGGTGAGTATGCTTTGATGTTTTAGATAATACGAAGTATTATGTTATAAGAGTCTTAATCTTAAAAAATTGCCATATTAGACATTAGACTGCTTAAAGAAAGATGATGATATATTGTACTAGGAAATATTCTTTCAAGCACCATCAGTTTGTGTGAATATTGGCTTGCAGTCTGACTTAATTAAATCACCTGCTTTGTTGTTATACTTCATTTATGTGTGTTCCTTGAGAAAGCACTTGCCAGTGCTATTCTTGAAGGTTAGATGTTTAAGCTAAGTTACTGCTGTAAGATAAGGTATCAAGGCTAAATTACTGCTGTAAAGTTAGATTTTAAAGCTAAATTACTGCTGTATATTATCAATTGAGCTGTTTTTTCATGCTTTATGTCACGTTTATTCCTTGTTTGCTTACATCGTGTTGTTTAGCATCTCATATTAAAAATTAAAAAAAAAAAATTGTGCCAGGAATTCTTTATCACCCTTCTCTCTTAATGTGCTCTTTTCATCCTGTATGTGTCTTTAATACACTTGGTGGTACTAGGTGTAGAATATAAAAATGCTCATCATTTTTGTTTTGGTCTTGTTGATTGAAGATCGGTTTTGTTTGCCCTGAAGGTTGGTCTTCCAGGGACTGGCAAGACTCTTTTGGCAAAGGCTGTTGCCGGGGAAGCAGAAGTTCCATTCATTAGTTGTTCTGCTAGTGAGTTTGTTGAACTCTATGTTGGCATGGGAGCATCACGGGTGCGAGATCTTTTTGCTCGAGCAAAGAAAGAAGCGCCATCAATCATATTTATTGATGAGGTTAGATTGACTGCACAATCAAGTAATAGAGTTTGGAATTGGTGAGAGTAAGTAGTTGATATTGTGGTTCTTTACAGATAGATGCAGTTGCAAAAAGTCGGGATGGAAAATTTCGCATTGTGAGCAATGATGAGCGAGAGCAGACATTAAATCAGCTGCTAACTGTAAAATTTTACAGACCTTTTCTAGTTTCTGCAACTCTAAATGTGTCATCATTTGGCTAACAAGTGTTTATCTTGCAGGAGATGGATGGATTTGATAGCAATTCGGCTGTAATTGTCCTTGGAGCAACCAACCGTGCTGATGTCTTAGATCCTGCTCTCCGTAGGCCTGGTAGATTTGATAGAGTGGTTATGGTCCGTGTTTGATCCTTCTTGCTCAGGTCATAACACTGTTATGCTTGAAGATTATTGACCTTCAAGATTTACCTATATCGTATGTTTTTCTCTGTAGGTGGAAACACCAGATAAGATTGGAAGGGAATCTATATTAAAAGTGCATGTGTCAAAGAAAGAACTTCCTCTTGGAGATGATGTTGATCTTAGTGATATTGCTCGTATGACTACAGGTTTTACAGGGTATACACATGCCTTGTCTCGAATCTCACTTGTTATCTATTCATGTCCTTTTTTTGATGCATTCTTATGATACACATTGCAGGGCAGACCTTGCTAATTTGGTAAATGAAGCTGCCCTGTTGGCTGGTAGACTGAATAAAGCTATTGTGGAGAAAATAGATTTTATTCAAGCAGTGGAGAGATCAATTGCAGTATGTCTGCACTCCTGCTAGCTTGTGTTCCTTTATGTGTATGCTTGCTTGGGTGCTTAAGTCCTTGTAGAATGGCCTATGATGTCTTCAGTCATTGTATTGTGTCTCTGATGAAGTTATTATACGAGAAATCAAATCATCCATAAATTAAATGATCGAATTCTCGGATTCCAAAAAATGCTATGGGGTGCTCGGAAATGGTTGAAGTAGTGCTACTGCTGCTTTTTCTTGTCTGTAGAATGCAGGTTCACAATATTCATCGATTATCTTACTTCAAGAATTGCTGTTATTCATGGGCCGATCTTATAAAATTAGTAGTAGTTATCATCCATTAACCTCCTGTCCCAGTCTGAAAATACCATAATTTACTCAATCTTTTCTTGACAAGTGTTCCCCATCAACTAAATGCACTAATAAGTAACCTTGGTGTAATTATTAAAATGAAGGTCCACTTAATGGTGATCTGAATTAAGTGAGGCTTGTTGTATGCAAAATGGTAGGGAAATTGAAATATGGGGCATGACAAAGTAGGAACATTTATATGAGACAGTAGTTGTGGGGAGTACATTCCTTTGTTTAGGGGATAGATGATAAATCTTATGCTGCTTTGTATGAGTGAAAATGCCTTTGAAGTTATTTGTTCTTTCAGGGCCTCAATACCTAACACTTTATAATCTTATGTTCAGGTTTTGCATGTTCATTTTAAAATTCTGCTTTCTGCAATTTAATGTGTCGTATGAGAAGCTATATGTGTGTATGCTTGATTCTAATGAGCTTGAGGATTTATATTTTTTCGTTTGTTGCAGGGGATAGAGAAGAAAACCGCCAAATTACAGGGAAATGAGAAGGCTGTTGTTGCTCGTCATGAAGCTGGTCATGCAGTTGTAGGGACTGCCGTTGCAAATCTTCTTTCAGGACAACCTCGAGTTGAGGTAAAGTACTCTATTTTAAGATATCAAGAGGATAGTAGGTATTGAAGTACTCTGCTTGAAGATATCAAGTAGGATAGTAAGTATTCATTAGACTCAAGGCTATGTCATATTTCAGTGATGTCCTGATTGAGATTCTGAAGTCTATCTGTTTTCAATTACGCCTTGCTGTTAAAATGAAAGATACTCGATTGATTATACATCTACATCAACTGCAAAAGGAGATTGTAGTATTGTATCATAATAAAGCTGTATACTTTCTGGGGTTTTTGTTTGCAGAAATTGAGTATATTGCCAAGGTCTGGAGGTGCATTGGGCTTTACTTACACCCCTCCCACAAATGAAGACAGATACCTTCTTTTTGTGGATGAGCTACGTGGGCGACTTGTTACACTTCTTGGAGGGCGCGCTGCAGAGGAAGTTACTTACGCAGGACGTGTTTCAACAGGAGCACTTGATGACATAAGGAGAGCAACTGATATGGCATACAAAGCAATAGCAGAGTATGGCCTTAGCCAAACCATTGGCCCAGTATCTTTAGCAACACTCTCTGCTGGTGGGATTGATGAATCGGGGGCTGCTCCTTGGGGAAGGGATCAGGTTTGCAGTACTTTCCTCTTTTAAGTTGTAAAATTTTTGTCTAACTGCTGTTGCATTAACTTGAGATTATAAAACAGGGACATCTTGTTGATCTTGTTCAAGGAGAGGTTAAAGCACTCCTGCAGTCAGCACTTGAGGTGGCATTATGTGTCGTACGTGCTAATCCTAACGTTTTGGAAGGTCTGGGTGCTCATTTAGAAGGTATTCTCTTTGATGTCTGTGATTCAATTTCTCTGGTTTTGAGTAATCTATAAACTTCTGGTGATAGTGTTTGCCCTTTGTATTATCAAAATTCATCTTGCTGGCTCCTTAACGTTCCCTCTTTTTTAAAGTAATTTATTGCACAAGGATTAAATATTTTTTTTTCTCCCTCTTATATCTAAATTCTATAATCCTGAACAAATACAGTTAATTTTTTCCAGCATTACTTGTTTCTCATTGTGTTTTGTGTGAGAGGTTTGAGTTCATAGTTTTCATTGGGACTCTAAGGAGAGTGAAAGTCTACATTCCTGTTTCTGAATAAACAGCCTAAACATCAACTCTTTAGCAACAGAGCCTAAAATATTATGTATGTTATAGGTTATTAGATCATCTGATTGTTTTTTTTTTTCTTCCGTATGTTATATTTACTCTGAGGTTTTTCGCTCATTGATTTGTTCTCTCTTAAATTGATCGCTTTTGAATGATATATTATTCACTGCTAAGATGATATTCTGTAAGAGATCTCTCAAACCATGGTTTTGTTAAATTGACATCTTACTGCCTTCTATCTAGTCTGAAGCTGCTGAAAGATTGGCAGTATTGAATCTCAGAGCCTAACAAATTTGTAATTGTTGGCCATTAATACCTAGTGGAGTGTTATGTAGGCTAAGCATCACCTATGTCTGCACATGCATTACATGATCGAGTCTTTCTGAAACAGTGTGTATCCTTGTGTAGAGACAGAGAAGGTGGAAGGTGAGGAGCTACAGAAATGGTTAAAACTGGTGGTTGCACCAGCCGAACTCTCAGTCTTTGTTCAAGGCAAGCAAGAGGCTTTTCTCCAACTACAACGAGTTCCAGAATGAAAAGCTATATAGCGTACTATTTGGCAGCCGACATTCTAGGAGAATATTGGACGGCAAGAGTTCCTTTAAATAGATTTTAATCAGACACTTCATGTGCCATTTTTCTCGTGTCCTTTCCCTGATTGCAGGGAACTTCATATTTCAGCTTAATCATCTTTAAACCTGACAGCTACTTACCACTGTTGACAATCAGAGGTCAAAAATGGAGGATTTGAAGCACCGACGATAGAATAGATAATCAAAGGGATGAAAATGGAAGGTTTAAAATCTACTGTCACAGTGCTGCTATCTTAATCACAAGAAATACCAGCTTTGTATAATATCTAAATTCTTCTGTACATGTAATCATTATTTCAGGAAATATATAGTGATTGTAACTTCTGCTTATTTGTATATACCGGCCCCATCCATGCATATATCAATCATAAATCAGTTTTACATCTTTTGCTTCTCCTTTGCTTGAATTTACATACTCTTTCATTAGTGTACTGGTTCACATAAAGTAATACCCACCGCCTATCACTTGGGCCTTGTTTTGGTTGCACGAAGAAAATGAGGGAAGTGAAAAATCATAGGAACTTGAAAATTGTTGAGTTTGATTGACAATAAAATGTGTAGTGGAAATTGCAAATTCATGGGAATTGTGATTTCTTACAAAACATGGGAAGTTAATTACCCAATCTCCCCTGGGTAATCAAAGTTCTTATGATTTGCAACTTTCTTCATGTCAATCAAACACCTTATATTACTAAAATTTATTCTATTATATTTTTTGAAAAAATCTCTTAGCATAACTGGTTGTATCTTGTAGTGTACAATTAGCAACCCAATCCCATGGACATCAAACTTACTGAATCATGGAAATAAAAGCCTGATCCAGCTCTTTCAATAGCAAGTCATTCGCAAACAAGTGAAGAACATAGCACGACGTCTAAAAACATGACAAGAGGTGAACCAAGACATACATAAGATAGTTTTAAGCACCAAGTAGGCCTTCAGAGGCCCTTTGGGTACCCTGGAGAGTTACTCGATTTATAAATATGTCGAGTTCAAAAATGTTCTCCAAAAGCCAAATTTAAAGGCTATAACTCACGATATCAAGCCACTTTCAAAGATTTGGGATTCAACCGCGAATACTCAAGTGATTGTAGGGTATGCATCATAGAGTCATATAACATTGTTGGGAACCATATATGGTCACTATTTATTCACATAAAGTCACGTGGTCGCCTTGAGTTAACGAGGTGGGATGTACTTAGCCAGCTAGATTTAAAGTTTAAATATAAAGTAGACAATACCAACCATCCAAGTGACTTCCTGGTGTCTCGTATGATACGTGGGTCGTGGGAAGCACCCTAACATCTTTCATTTTTGGAGCCTAGAAAAGTAGAAAATTATCCAAAACTTGGCTATAATCTACTCTTTCGAATCAATTTTGAGAATTTTTTTAAATTTGAAACGAATGTATAGGGTGTCCTTTTTGGTCATAAAAGTTGTTCGTAATCTTAATTGGCCTACTTATAGGTCTACAAAGTCACCCGAATTATATTCAGGATATGCATTTACGTGTAATTACTTATATACTCTTGATATTTTTCTAACTATATACGATTTCTGTGTATACTAGAAGCTAGATTGTTATTGAGGGACGATATTTTTCTTCACCTTCACAAAAATTTACTTTGTATCCAGAAAGATTATTGAGGGACGAAAGGAGGATCATCAAATTTAGATGAATGTAAAAATATTTAATTAATCATGATGTTGGGAGGCTGATATTTTTTTATTGAAGCTAGAAAAATCTATGTTAGCATCAATTGTGTTTGTGATGTTTTTGGATTTAGTGATACAACAAGTGGACTTGATGGCAAGAGGTAATTGCCACTTGTCATGGGTTACCTAAATCCATTGCCATGCTCATGTTCTTATTTCATTGCCTCTTCTTTTTTCTTGTACAGTATTTTTCAAGATGAGAGGATAAAACATTAAAAACAAAAGTAATAACTAATTTAAAATGTAATATATAGACCCTGTTTGGTAATTACTAAGTAGTTTTTAGTTGTTAGTAGTTAATTGTTTTGACTAGCTGTTGCTAGATGTTAATTATTGTTTTTTTTTTTTTTTTTTTTTTTTTTTTTTGTTTTGAAAGAAACTAATTAGTTGTTTGTGTAAAAGTATTTGGTAAATAATTACTATTAGTTATTAGCTGTTTTATAATATGAAACTAAAAAAGCTAAAAGCTCACATCAAGAAGCTCTTCATGTTTTCTAAAATAAATAAAAAAAATGTTCATGGGAGCTTCAATAGCTTCTAACCAAATACTCGAAAAGAGATTTTTGAAATGATCAAACATCACTTTTTACACCAAAAACAATCATAAATCTTAACTAAACACCCCTTTAGAAATCGAAAAAGGAACTCTAACCAATTGAACTATCCTTCCCCCTCTTAAAAAAATACTACCTATGTCAATTGCTATTTGCCTTCAAAAAATTACTCATAGCATCATACATAAAGCCCAACAAATATCTAGCGCTAGTTATCTAAAGCAAGTGACAAAATTCAGAGATATAATAAAATTACATTCTCCAATCTCCACCATAGATTTATTTGGACTTTGGTCAAGTGGAAAATAAAGCAATCAATAACCAAACACATATCGTTTTCTAATGATTTTTGTTGATATTTTGCTCATTCATACAAAAGTTGGACAATAATTTCGCCAAATAATCACTTCAATAAATAATTTATTTTGACAAATAATCACTTCAAATAATAATTTTTTGACAAATAATGTTGACCAATAGCAAATGTTTTATTGTCACTATTTTAATTTTTTTTTTTTTATAACAGCGTTCTTATTTATTTGTTTTTTTTTGGTGCAAACTTGTTTATTTTTGTTGATAGCATAAATGGTATATTCTTGATAGCACTATGAATATATCTTTTTAAATTATAAAAATTGCTGCTCAACCAGAAATTTAAATATCTCGATTACAAGGCCAATTGACAAACCCAATTATTTTGCTTGACAACTTTTCACAAAATTAATAATATAGTGCACCTTTAACTCTTTAAGGCTTTAACCTTATGTCATGTCCTCTTTTACTCCAATAACTTGTCATCTTAGTGGTGTATGGTGCCACACAAATTATTTATGAATTACTTTTGAACAAGAAAAGATCTATCATTCTACAAATTAGTATTTTGCGTAGTGGTAAGGATTATTATCTTTCAATCACGATCCAAGCTTATAGTCATGAGGTTGTAAAATCAATCTCCATTAAAAGCAAATTAGTGATGAAGATTCCCTTACTTATATGACTTAGGCCCTGTTTGGTAAGTAGTTGTTAGCTGGTTGATATAGTTGATTGTATTAATTGGTTTGACTAGCTGATTATATAAGATGATTTGACTAGTTGGTTGTAAATAGCTAATTGTGTAAAAGTGTTTGGTAATTAGTTTTTTTTATTATTAGCTGCTTCGGTGTATCTAATACTAAAAAAGCTAATTGTTTAATAGGCTAATTTCAAAAAGCTCTAATAAAGAGCTTTTTAACCCAAAAAAGTTTTTTTTTAATAAGTTATTTACCAAACACCAGAATTAGCTTTTAAAAATGGTCAAACCTCTAATAGTGTTCAATAGGCTAAAAGTTTTTCAAAAAGTTCTTTACCAAACAAGGCCTTAGGCCGAGTTGACATGTAATAGACCACACAATATCAAAACAGGGTAGGTAAAATAATAGATAAGATATGTTCATACAACATATGTTATAAAATCTCACGAGAATATATTTCTCATAATGTATGAATCATAATAAATCGTTACAGAAGTGCATGCAAATAGTATAAAATTAAAAACATCTCGTTTTATGTACGATCGGCTGAAGCACACCAAAATACTGATTGGGTAATCCTTGACCGACCGACTTACCCCTAATTGAGTAACCCTAACCAACCGAGTAATCATTGACCAAGTAACCCCTGACCGACCGAGTAACCCATGATCGATCAAATAACTCCTCACCGAATAATATCTGACCAATCGAGTAATCCCTGAATAAGCAACCCCGGCCAAATATGAAACTTTGTGAATTTAAAAAGAATGGATGTTGTAATAATCATCTCAGACTAATATTTAATTGGAAGATCACATTTCTTAACAAAAATTGTGGAGCACATCATACTTGTGATTTTAGAAGGTAATTATAATAAATAAATATCTAAAAAGTAGACTTTATAACTTTTGTTTTGTTTTGTTTTTTTTAATTTTCGGAGTTTGTTGTTACACTGTATATGACTAACTAAAGTTGGTACTTGTTTTATAAAAAAAAACATCCTCGTAACCACGAGATTCTACCATCCTTCTTCTTTGTAAAACTACACTCTTTACTCCACTTCTCATTTCTCTCTCTCCTCAGTTTCGGTGAGTTAATTTAAACTTTTTCATGTTTTTAATCTATTTTTCTGTTATTAATTTTTTATTTATTTATATGATTAATCGACGACATGCATGCAACTTGTTGATAAAATTTTATATAATGATGGTTTATTGTTTTTGTTGATTGCAAATTTACAGTAAATTTGAAATGCTTCTGGAATTTTGAGACTTGAATCTTTGTTATTATTGTTTATTGAAATTCTGATGTTATGATGTAGGATAATTCCCGAATTTTTAATGACAAAATGGGTTTTCATTTTTCTAAATAATGAATAAATTAATAATTTTTTTTTGGCGTATATTTAAAAATGAAATGGGATGTTTATGAGAAGATTTATCTTGATTATCGTTTTGTTTTATATTTAAGGATTAAACAATTAAAAATTGAACTTTGTTGGATCTTTCTTGATTCAGGTGCTTTAGATTGAATTGCCCTGTTTAAAAATTGAAAATGGTTAGCCTGAATTATTGAGTGAATGTTGTTTGGGCTTGTTCTTTCAACCTGCATTATTTGCATTAGATGTACCCCTTTCATTCGGAAATATTAATTATCGTGTTTAATTTTGGGATGTCCGGAAAAAGTTGTCACCTTTCTTGTTGGGGTGTTCGAAAAAAGTTGTCACCAGTCTTGTGTTAGCTATGGTTTGTGTTTTTTTGGTAACTAACTGTGGTTTATGATTACCATAAATGTCTTAATATGTTAATGGTATCATCTCATATCCTTAATTACAGGAGATTTGTACAATATGACTACTATTTTTCTAAAGCCGGAGTAATCTAAAGCATGAACACTGGAAAATAAAACTACTTCCTCAAAATTGGGGTGTTCTGACCCTTGGATTGATTTGCTTTAGTAATTAGTATCTGGCTGTTCATCTCGAGTATGCTAGCATGTAGTGATCCTTAGCATAGCCAGCAATGTAAGGCTAACTAGAATTGCCACCAAAAAAAAGGCTAACTGATCTTCGGTACATTAAGCTATCCAGAGTCTTTTAGTTTTCGATACTTCTAT